TGGGCGTAGTTAACTAAAGCATCGAATGCAAACCAGTTATTGCCGTTGGCATCCGTGGCGCATTCCCGCCGCAGTTGTGGTGGCATACCGTGAATAAGCCAAGTGCACAAGTCAATTTGAGACATGTTAGGGTCGCCGCACGTAATTTCGCGGAACCGTTGCACGTAATTCGGTATGGACTCGCCGGGCTTCATTGCGTGTGCACCGGCGTGAAGTTGCGTTCGTACGTGGTGAGGGGTGCAAAGGTGCACGTCACCGAAAAGCAACAAGAAGTCGGCACGCATGCTCTGGATTGTGAGCGTGGAGCCTTGGCGTGCGACTAAGTCGTGGTACCACTCGGCGGCTTTGCCCGTAACGTTGTATCGCATGCCCAGTATGGGATCGCTGCCCGTTTGCGTCATGAAATCAACGACAGTATCAAACCAGATTTCAGGTTTTGTTACCGAGGAATTGGGCACTCCTGTGAAGCAAGGAGGCGGCCTAAAGTTCTTAAGACTTTGGTGGTTGGCATTGTGCGCAGTAATGGATTGTACATCCTTGGAACCCACTATCCCACTTACGTGGCCAGCTTGGGCAGCTGCTGGCCCGCTCGCGACCGGCGGCGCGCAGTTGGCAACCGGCGCGGCAGTGGCGACGATCGGCGGTGGCACTGGTTGTGGTGCCTGGTCGCTGGCCTGCACCGGCGGTACTTGTGCAGTGTTTGCCGGCGGTTCTGCAGCCGTTGGCTGCACGTCAGGGCCTTCGGTTGATGGCATGATGGCTTCGGAAGGAGGAGGAGGAGGGGGAGGAGGAGGAGGTCCGGCGGCTTTGGCCTGGATGTGTGCCTCGATGTCTTCCATTCGTTTCGACATTTTGTCGATTTTGTCTATCAGCTTGTCGAGTTTGTCGTCGCTGGGGGCTCCACCTGTTGGGTGTGCCGCGGGGTCCATATCGTCAGTTCGTGCGATAATACGTGCAACATTTTGTTGCAGGGACCTAAGCACCAATCTACATGGTGGCATTGCGCCATTTGGGCGGTGTGGGTGGGAAAGTGGTGGCAACCCCCC